CCTACGGATAAAAAGTATGCAGTAGACATGGGGAAAACATGCGATGAAGCAAAAAAGCTACTTTTTTTATCTCCTCGTCACAAGTTTTTTTGGGTATCCTGATATGTTCTTCTTCCGCGTCGGGAAATACGGATTAAAGGCAAATTGCTTCGGGCACAGCAACGTAGGAGCGCGACTTTTCTCTCCGGGTCGAGTAAAGGTTTTTGATTTTGCGAGATCGTGGGAGGCGTATTACAAAACAGAGACAATCCTCCGTCCGAGTAGTAATCTAATACAGCCGACCTAAAGCCGATATATAAAGAGAAAAGTGAATATATTCACCGTATTACGTAGAGACTTCGTATCTTTCAGCGACTTCGTATTGTCTCGCGAAGTCGCGAGATTTGTGTTCGTTAATGTTAAAGTAGAAATCCTTATATCCTAACGATGAAAAACTACTATGCTGCTTACGGCGAAAATTGTATCTTACAAGCTTAACTTTTAACGTCCTACAGATCGGTTTCCGTATCCGCGGTCATCTATCGCAAGTTTTCAAATGCCCTACGCGACCTTACTGAATTCACAATCGGTATCATTCTACAGCTTGAAAAACAGGGCAGGAGGCGCGGGGTGGGAAGGGGGAGGGGGTGGGAGTCATCGTGCAGGAGAAAACCGTGCGCCAGCTTGGAAAAATCAGAGTGCGAAATCTATAATTCTCGAGGCGTTCTCCTGGAATCTCCTCGGAATACGAATACGAAGTAAAGTTCGAGGGTCGAAAGTGCTAGAGCCACAAAATCACATTTGGTCGATCTAAGGATGTTCCATAGGATATTGATATTTGACGTCATCATGCGACAGCACAGCGAAGTACAGAACGGAGAAGCGAGGTACGAACGCTGAGAGACACGCGAGAAAAGTTATTTACTCTCTAATCGCTAATCGCGTCTTACTCCGCACTACCGGATTCGATACGGCGTTTATATAAAAAAGGGACGATTCGAGTTTCTCACGCCTAAGCAGATCTCTCGTCTATGTATTATTACAAATACGCGAGGCTTCTTTTGATCGACGTCTCTTTCATTTTGATCACTTTCTTTTCGGTGAGACTGATTACTTTGATTGCGACCTTAGACGTATTACATGGAACAGGTACGTAAGAGTTAAACACCTTCCTTTTCCCCTCCTCTTCCATCCCTCCTTTCCCCCTCCTCCCTTCTCTCGAAAACTTCCATTCGTTCGAAATCGTTACTGCGCTGCTACCTGATAGCATCCGGCAAAAATGTGACAGGTCGACTTTTTGAGATACGACACAAGCTGACTTAGGCGTATTTTAGTAACTGCTAAATTTTCAGTTCTCGACTAAGAGTCGCGAGTAAGATAATTGACGTTTGCGTTTGGAGCAGAAAAAAATCAAAGATCCCATCAAGCATTATGCTCGAATTCCGACTTACTCCAGTTCTCCCCGTTTGAAAATGAGCAAAAAAAAAATCAATATTAAGAAAATCGCTCATTCGATTGAAAAAAAATGAAGATTAAAAGAATCTCGTGCAGAAAATAGGAAATATTTTTCCCCAAGTACGGAATGTACTTCTGCTTATTTCATTTGAATCCTCGAACGGGAACAAAAAAATGTACGAATACGCAATTAAAGACGTGAAAGAAGAAAAAAAAAATATTACGAATACAGCAGACAATACCAAT